TACATGAACTTGAATGTGTACTTAATTTGCCATGTAGACCTATTATTGGTTGTCTCTCGGACGGTGTGGAGGAGGTTTGCCTACAGTTCTTCTTATGCGGAGTGTACGGCATTCCACCATGACACGCAGATGACGTACCCTGCCCTGACGAAGGATACCTTCAGAAAATTTGACAATTTACATCGGTGAGCATCTTGATATTATTTTACTTAGAAATTGATCATGGCATGTATGTACATGCATGTACATACATCATGTACAAGTACATGTTTTCATGTACATTGTACATGTATGTCTGTGCCTATAGAAAAAGATAAAATATGAAACTTTCTTATCTTCTATAGTTTTTAACACTCATATTCAATGCAAGAAAAATCCCAGCAAAGGCACAGACAACAATCTTGAAAATAACCTGGCAATAATTTTCAACAGAGACTTTTGAGACGCTTCCTTTTACCTGTCCTTTTCATTTTTTACGTCACATTTAACCTAATGTGCACATGTTCAAATTGACGTCAACACCAGAAAAGGACTGGTGTATTTGCTGCCACCATGCATCTCAAAGTATCCCTTTGACTTTGTTCCATTTGTTATATTCTTGTTGTGCTTTCAGGTTTTGAAGAGTTTCTTCCTATTTCTGGATTGAAGATGGCAACGACATGCATGGCCGGGTATAATGGACGAGCTTTGGATTCCTCCGCATCTGATCTGTACTACCCACCCATTGCGATTGAACTCCGTATCAGTTCCTGACCATGCCATGACATGGCCATGTTCATTCAAACAGCCCAACCCCCACTCTGAACCTTTCTAAATAGTCCATGGTGTGGAGTACATGTACAAATATTTTTAGTGTGATCTGAATTGGGAGTGGTAGGTGTAGTCTGTTCGCTGCCTCCCTGTCCCAGATGCTTGAATAACATAGTTGACGTAAACATTTCATAATGAATATCTTACTTGGTTTGGTTGTGAAATAAAGAATGCGTTTATTGCCAAACAAAAACCTATTTGTTATTGTTTTGTTTAAGCTATAGATCCAATTAATTGTCAGTAACTTCCCCCAGAAAATTAAGAGGATAGAGTGTCTAGCTATACTGATGGCAAATTCATGCTTGGTTTTGGATTGTGCTGCTTTAATATGCTGTACAACACTCACTCACTGTACACTAAACATTTGTGAATTTCGGATTGTGTGTTTATTTTGTCCACAGTGAGTGTTTTCATCCAAAAACAGATATAGATGGTTCTTTATTTCTATGTAATCTGTTTTGCATTTTATGCATTTTTTTTTCAATGTCTTGCGATCGTCCCGAATGCGATGGTTTTACGTACGTACACATGTATAATGTACATGTGTACACGTTGTACGGCGCTTTTGTGTACACAACACACGCGGCGCTAGGCCAGTTGGTACCCGCGCGCCAGTTTGCATGTATTAGTGGGATACTAGATCGTAAACCAGCGATGCAGCAGCCCGAATTCTCAGCGAAGCTTTGGAATTGTAGTCTGACTTTCAACGTCTATATTATATTTTAAAATGTCGACCCGACCAAGAAAAAGTATGATTTGGCTATTTTCATAACTGAATAATGGTATCAACATAAAGATTTCTTCTGAAAAAACTGCGTTTCGCTTTTATTGAAGGCTTTTAAAAGTCTTCGATACATTGCAAAAATGTTGGCGAAATTCCCCTTAAACAAGGTCATTGCCTGTCATTTATGATAATAAAACATATTTCTAAAGTGTCTACTGATTTTGACATTATTTGGGACGAAACATCAATGTTTTGTTCTGTATGTGGACGGCGCCATGTTGTGTGACGTCACTGGCATCATTGGAGTTCACAAATACAGCACTAACGCATTACAGAACCTTTTTGTGTGTACGCGCTATGCATGTGGAACTGCCGTGTTGTCAAATAACAAAATCTCCAATAGCCAGTCGTTCTGTTTGTTCACAAGTTCACAACTCACTTTCGCGCGCGCACTGTATACATCGCGCACGCGAAAAGTTGTAATCAGACAAACTGACGCATACAAACACTGTGAACAACAATCAGCTATGGGAGATTTTGTAATCTGACAAACTGACGAATACGTTTACGATCAAATTAAAACAAATCGTATAACTTATCTGATGAAATAAGTTTATCTGAAGGATACTACGTTTCCTATTTCAATTCGAATATACACCAAAAAGGGTTATTATCGAAACATTAAGGGTTTTCGCTTTAATATTCGTCGGTATGTCAGCTTTGCGAATTTGGTGAGTCAAGCAGGTTGCTTATGAAACATTCCTTGGAACATGCCCGGGACAAATACAGAGCTTCTTCCGGACAAAGTGAATGATTCTGCCTGCACTTTCTCCGGAAATCGTCCCGGATGTGGATTGAGGTGGGCCCTAAGAGCTCATGGCAAATCCCTTCACAATTCAAGGCACACAAGCAATGAATGCACAAACCTGCTACATAGGAGCCGTAGAACAGGCCAACGGTCAACCGGTATTTGTTAGCTTCGTCAGCCACGGTGAAGAAACCGTACTTGGTGTAAGTAGTCTGCGAATAGTAAGACTGCAGCTCGATCTGCAGCAAATAGTCCTGCTGGGTCGTGAGCTCATGGAGGGCGTCGTTGCCCAGCAAAAAGTTGACGGAGAGGTCACCAAAGCCAGCTTTGTAGCTGGCCCAGTTCTGGTTAAAATCTTGAGTGTCATCAATGCGCCTTTGAAATACCTGATGGGAATTCGAAAAGATGGCAAAAAGCTGTCTTTATAGCAATTATTGTATATACATTTATTTATGAAACTTTTAATAATTTAAACTGAAAACCCCTTCCTTTTAATTCCAGCTTCGCCCCGAAAAAGGACAAGACCCAGGATGATTTTTAGCCTGTTTTTGTAGGATCTTACACAACCAACATCAAACTGCCAACACTTGAACACCTTTTGGTGAAAATTGCAGGTGCCATGGTGCTAAAATGTTTTATCTCACGTCTACGTCTATTCAAACTATGAAAAACGGAAAACGAATGTTACAAACAAAACCCTCAACACCCAACATCTCATTGATGGGTTTTGTTAAACCAGTGACCCAGGGCATTTGCGTATCAAGAGGGTGGGCAGGTGGCACAAATTGCCCCCCCCCCCACTCCATGCAGATTTTTGTGAAAGATATTTGTTCAGAAACTATTTTCATCAACGGTTACAGAGCTTTGACATAAAACAAATTTACAAGCCAAGCTCCAAAACCCTTACAATGCGACGTGAAAAGCGCTGTATATTTTCCGGTATGCACATTAGTGGTCAGTTTTGAAGTGCGCCCCCATTTGGAAGATAGGTCCCCCGGCTGCGTAATTTTTATTCCTAGGAGGGTTAGGGGCAATGTCATGAATAATTCACGTTTATCCATGAGAACGGACAATGACATCAACAGCATTGTTGTTAGTTACTCAAATAGTTACAATACATTAAAGCATTTTAAAGAACGGTTGTCGTCGAGCTACCACACAGTAGCCTAGTGGATGGCGAGATGAGCTATGGATACAAAGATCCCTGGTTCGAATCCACCTCGTCGCTGCTCATTTTCATCAGCTATTTTTCTTCTCCAAATTTATCACTGAGATAATTTTAAATTAAGGGAAAAATAGAACGAGAACCTAAGTCTTGCAATGATTCAAAGGAAAAACTGAATTATTCATGACATTGCCCCTAACCCTCCTAGGGAAAAAAATTACGCCCCCGGCTTTTTGTTTTTACGGAGGTCAAGAGTCCGGAAAAAAAAACATGTCTACATTTCGTTGCCCCCCCCCCCCGACAACAAAAGCTGGATACGCCACTGACCCCGGGTCACCACTTCCGCCTGCGCATGTCATGCGCACGAAACGTACAATGATTATAGTGGTAAGGTACCAACAATGCTGGACATCTTCGCTTTCTTCCCCAATTTAGCTGAGATTAGCGGTCACCGCTGCCCTCAAGTGGACGGGCGGTAATGTGAGAAAGCTCTACTCACTGTCCATCCTCCGCCATCCGTGTCCATGTCGCAATAGACTTGCAAAGGTCCGTTGTGCGTGGCAGGATACACGGCGTACTCGCCACTGGGAAGTAAGGGTGAACTGGCGTGTATGTCCCAACAGTCCACGGGAGGTTTTTCTGAAGCAAAATGAAAGTCACACTATCTCCAATATGTGATTCATAAACAACTTTTTGTAACAGTTTCATCTGGTCTGAACAACTGTTTTTATCAGTCCCCTTTAAAGGGAATGTACATTATTGGCTTTCGCTGTAATTTTCAGAAATGAACTATTTGGGGGTTAGTATAATAGATCAAATATTGTTACACTGACATGTTAAAAGTCTTGTGTTCGAAAATGCTGGAAAACCAAGAAAAACGAAAATGTTCAAGTAGTGTGGTTCCCTGACTCCACAAAAAATGCCGGAAAGTTGTAAGGTAAGGGAACCAGTCTAGCTGGCCTGCACCCGTTCATGAACATGGAACCAATAAGCAAACAAAATTTTGACTGAAAAAAAAACCGGTAAATTTGGATCAGTATAGTTGTTGAAAAAAAATTAGGTTTTTCCAACGGTGGTCGGCCAACCACCGTTGAAAATGTATACAAATGTACCATTTTTCTTGAAAATCGGCCGATCAGCGTTGGAAAAAAACTGGCTTTTTTTTTCAAATACTGGCCCCAATTGACCATCGCACTTGTTTGCAATCGATTACAAACCTATGAACGGGTACGAGCCAGCTAGACTGGATCCCTGACCTTACAATTCCCCAATGTATGTAAACTGCTCTGTTTCTTCTTAATATATGGAGTCAGGGAACCAGACTACAGGAAAATGATTGTTTTTCTTGGTTTTTATAGCATTTTCCAACCCAAAACCTCAAAAAAAGTGTAACTATATTTGCTATATATTTCCAACCCCCAATTCCATCCATTTCTGAAAATTACAGTAAAAGCAAATGATGTATATTCCCTTTAAGGTAGCAAGTCCTACGAACATCACAACAACATCGCTAATCATCATTTTCCAAGAAATGCATTTATTAATGCACTATAGGGTCTAATATGGTTTCTCATTCTGGGTCACTGGCGGATATGATTATATCACATATTTCGATTTTAACGATTCGTTCACTCTCAAAAGTTGTTTTGAACAAATGATTTCTTCATTAAAACACATCAGTTCATAATTAATGATGCTCTTTGCGTACAATATACAGTATTTCATATTGTTTCCAGTATTGATTTACTGGAGTGCGGTATCATGTTTTAATTAATTGTCTGTACGTCAGCGGAGCCATGGTTCATGCGCTTGGCAGCGGTCTTCTCGGGAAAAATCGTTATAGCGTGTCTTCGAATAAAGCGAGTTATATGGATTAAGAATCGACTAATTTGTTTGGTGGGCCAACATTATTGGCTCGCGACCTTGCAGTTAAGGCCTGTTACGAAAGGCTGGTATGCTGTTTAAAATAATTATTAAAAAAATAGGAGACACTATTATACAACACATTTTGTTGACTCTGAAAGCGGTTTAGACCCATTACGAAAGGTTGCCTTTACAATTAAAACACAAATATTACACAACACATTTTATTGACTGTGATAGGCCTCACCATTACCACAACAAGCACAGAGATGTTTATCAGTAATCATCATCCTTAATATCGCCATCATCGTCAACATCACTATCACCATCATCATCATTGCTTCAAAAATCATTTTAAATCGTTGATATGGTGCACCATGAAACTGCTGGTTGGTAAAATAAAAGGTAAAGACCATTATCATGTTGCGGCCATCTTGATTTTTACCCATTCAAATCAACGTTACGGTAATCAAAGTGAGGCTGGAAGGAAAAATTGCTAGTTCCTTTTTGCACCAAAAAAAAAACATTATCATATAGTACTGTTATTAGATACAGGGAACATGACTGAAATGGTGGCAGCATGATAAAGGTCTATAGTGTCAATTCTCAAGTAGGCCTATATATCAATAATTACCCTGTTGTGACGACTTCGGTGGTTGGCACTGAAGTCGTAGCTTGTGTGGTGGCAGGTTGAATGTTTGTTGGCTGGATGGTCGTCGGTTGATTGGTTGTCGGTTGATTGGTTGTTGGTTGATTGGTTGTTGGCTGATTGGTTGTCGGTTGGTTGGTCGTTGGTTGATTGGTTGTTGGCTGCTTGGTTGTTTGCTGCTTGGTCGTTGGTTGATTGGTCGTTGGATGATTGGTTGTTGGCTGATTGGTTGTTGGCTGATTGGTTGTTGGCCGATTGGTTGTTGGCCGATTGGTTGTTGGTTGATTGGTGTCGGTTGATTGGTTGTCGGTTGATTGGTTGTTGGCTGCTTGGTTGTTGGCTACTTGGTTGTTGGCTGATTGGTTGTCGGCTGATTGGTTGTTGGCTGATTGGTTGTCGGTGATTGGTAGTAGTTGTTGTTTGGTCGTTAACAGGGGTGTTGTTCCCATTGTGGACCGACCTTCAGAGATTATCTGTAAAATATGTTAAGAAAGAGCATTTCAGAGGAATCACTGATTATGTGGGAGGCTTCTCACGAGTCTGGTTGCCCATAACAATTCAAGAATTATTAGCTAGTGTAGGTTAAAGGTGTTGTGTACCATTTGCAAACATTTAACACGAAACTGCTAATATAGGTCTTCCCAGCCAATTTCGCAAAGTTAGTATTCAAATTCATCTTGATAATGGCTAATTTGATGCGAATAAGCTCCCTGCTGTCATTCCCGTGGTTCATATAGGTTTGCAGACATTCAATTTCGTTTCAGACCTGACGTTGTCATGTTAAGGGGATGTTGAAAACATCTTAAATTGAAGTTATGTCATTCAACATCATTAAATTTAGCAGTCTGTTTGGCTCAGAGTTATTTGCATAAGAATCGTGTTTTCGTTTTAATCTCTACGCATTTCTATGTAGTACTTCCTGCATTCAAAATGGTAAACGAAGGCAACACTGCAAAAAATGTGTTTAGCAATTAAACACTTTTCTAAATACTTTCTTGCTATCAGTTTGTAAACATGTTTTAATACTAAACATGTTTAGAGTAAGGATGGACAGTGTTTAGCAATTGAACATTAATGTTTAGGAATTGAATAGCTTCTAAACATGTTTACAAAGTGATAGCAATATTATGTTTAATTGCTAAACACAGTTTTTAGAGTGAAGATGCAATTTTTTTTTCTAATTGGTTTTATTCTAGTTTGTTCATGTTCAAAAAGATATTTTAGCTATCTTTAATCTAAATAGAAAATCAAACATGGTACATGAAATTCGACCTATAAACCATAAACTTAGGCAAAATTTTACCAAGTAGATAATTTGCTCTTTTTTACGGTGTTACCATACATGTACGTTATTACCTTTTGATCTTTTAGTTTTTAGTTGCGATCGGGCCATTTTTATGTCTCTAACTTTTTTCTCCATTATCTTAATCTTTAACATGCTTCATGTCAGTAACATATGCTTCTTTTATACAGGTTCAATAATTTAAATGAGCGTACTTTAAAATGTGATTGCCGTATTTTGCCGTGATTGCCGTATTGCTCGAAAAACGAAATTGAATGTTCTTTTGTGTAAATTGAACAATGATATTAAACTGTATTCAAATCTACGCAGAAACTAATCCGGGTGACTTGTTCAATTTGAACGGGAAACAAATATTTAATATTGGTTGACTGCTGTGATGTAGGATATGACGTTTTGAACACCCAACTGTCACGTAAATATTGTACGAAAATGTATAAGAAAAGGCATATATTTTCATTTGAGAAACGGCTAAGTAAAGTTGTAAATTTGCAAAGTAATTGTGCCATTTGAGGGGTTTCTCAATTTCCCGCTCCATTATTTTGTAGGAATGGAGTGATGGAAGCATTACACCATCCGAAAGAATGGAAAGGTATCGCCTCCAACACTCCATTTGTGCAAAATAATGGAGTGCTAGGACAATGGGGTGACGTAACGAATGGAGTTTAAACTGTTACTAATATCCGCCTTCGCACTGGGTTACGGGGGGATTTCTACACTATTCTGTAATATGGTGCTGATATTTGTCGGATTTGAACAGTGCCCCCATTAAAAGTATGGCACAAGCCCCCCCCCCCCTTCCTTGAACCTTCCTTGAGAATAGTGTCGAAAGCCAAAAATATTATAAACTTTGAGCCTTTGAGAATAAACAAGTTTTATAACAAGAATACTTTTTGACTCATATTTTCATTCTGCTTGTCTTTGTTGCCTCGGCGTTCTTAAAACTTATCATTTAAACGGACCTCCTTAATGGTGTGCCGCTATAAGTAAAGAAGAGTTACCATTTTACGGTCAAGTGCGGTTTGAACCAAACCATTGCTGGAAACTGTTTTTTGTTCTTCATATACTACCTTCGTTATAAGGGTTGCGTCCCACACAGCTATTGACTTCGTGCAGCTGCAGCCACGGTTACGTTAGATACAGGAGAGCGTGTTAGCTGGGTGGGGGAGGGCACGTCCCCCTAGTCGTCCCCCCCCCCCACTGGAATTTAATAAGTCCTATAATAGATTATTCAGGTTCAACAGAAATTGGGCGCACCCCAATGTAGCATCCAGCCCCCCCCCCCCCCATTCCCACTAGCCAACCTATGGTGAAGACCATAACCATCTCGTTAGGTCTTTGTAATATCTAACAGTGATGCCTTATGGAAAAAAAAATTGGGTAAGTGTCCAGTGTAAGTCGATATTTTGCAGTGTATTTATCATTCCTTGGGTGTGAATTTGTCGGTGCTGCTGCCTCTTTACTTCCTTTGATTGTTTTCAAAAGATGTCAAATATTGTTTACCTATGTTTAAATTCTCTTTGCTTGGTTATCTGTCGTTTTTTGTTTTATTTGTGTTAACATATTTTCTTATTTATTGGTTGTTTATAAGTGGTGTCGGTAATGTTCTTTGTTTTCAGAATTTTTATATTTTTAAATTTACCTTTAATATTTATCAACATTTTTTATTTACCTGTTACTTTATAACGTATTTTTTGTATTTTTGTATTTTCCTTATGTGCATTTTGAAATAGCTTTGTATTATTTCAAGTAATTTATTATTTTCTAAGTGTATTTCAAAAAAACTTTTAAGGTGAGCAACGTAATGGAATATGCGCTATAAAAATAATGAATTATTAATTATTATTATTATGGAACCCTGACTACGCCGCTGAGTACAAATTGTATTGTGTAAATTTTTTTCCGGAGTTTAGGCACAGTGACCCATTTTGTTGTAAGCACGACAGATATGACGAGCTTTATTTTGTCGAAATGTTCTTTGTTTTCAGAACAGCGTTGTTGCGAATGGTACACAATACAGGGTGAGTAGAAAAAAAAACAATGGCAGGACCAATTTGTGAATGTTTTGCCTGTAGCACTGCAAAAATCTAGGATATGAAAGCGCATTTAATGGGATTTCTTTTAGTACAATAACCATTCAAAGCACTTGTGTACTTGTTAATGTAGTGAGACGTCTTTTACGAGGCACCGTACAATATTGGCACACAGCCCAGAAAAATGCATACAAACGAGTGCCGTTAACGCGCGAATATCATCCCTTTTCTGCCTGCACACCAAAGTGTGCAATTTGGAGGCCTAGTTCACAACAGCCGTACACTGGCCAGGCGTTCGGGGAACCGGTGAATCTTAGGAACCTCACTTTGAATCTGGGAACTTTAGAAATACAACCTTTGTGATTTAATATATTTTATCATTGGTAACTGTGTCACAATTTATAGAACTAGAAACTGATCTATTATCTTATCAATACTTTTTGTAACAGTTGTTTTTGTGAGTTCAAATTGAGATCATGTGTTAATTTAAACTGTTGTAATCGATTTTTGTGAACAAGTTCATGAAACCAAGCATAATTTGACTCCTGCTTTGATTTGCTTCTGTTTTTTCTTGATTTGTCCTTGGCGTCCTTAAATCTAATCATTTGAGCGGACCTCCTTACTGGCGTACCGCTACAAAAGTGGCGTCGTAGACAGGATTCGTCACAACTTATTGACCTACTGGGCTTAAAGTATTTTTCTTCCATGTCTATTCTACCGCTACAAAAGTGGCGTCGTAGACAGGATGCCTTGGACAATGTAGGATAAACAGTTTCCTTAATTGTAAATTATTAAGTTCCCCAACGCCTGTTCCTCGCTGTGGCCGACCATGTATCATGGAGCGTCGTACAAGATGGGATTTGCTGTTGTTGTTACCATGCAACATGTTTCTCCTCATTCACCAGGCTGTGATGCGCTATTTCACTTGTGGAGGGACAGGATCATCTCTTCCATGTTGTATTATTGACTGGGCTGCATTTTTTTGTATTACTGTCAGCAGGTTCAGTATTGGTCACTTGTAGTTTTAACCTACATACTTTTGTGCAATTTTATCTTCCATGTGAAGTGTATTTTGACTTTGGTATCCATTCTTTTGTAGATCTGCATTTGTACAGATTAAGCCATTTGGCCTACGTGTAGCTGGGATACATTTTATTAAGGTCAAATTTGTGTGCACAGTTGGTTTGTATGTAGAGTATGGCCTGATTGTATTTTTGCTGACTTAATTTGTAGACCCTAGTATATTTTGACATATTGATATGTGAAGTTTGACGTGCATTTGATGATGTGCATTTAATATTTTGTCTGTGCATTTTTGTCTATATTTAACATGATTCAGTCTGTATTAAGGCTGTAATTTTGGTTGGATTTTGTGTGTACAAGTTATGTCATTGTATCCCTTGCAGGATTGACAATAGGCTGTATTGTGACACTGTTATATCTGTGTAGGTACAGATTTTTGGTGAAATTTATGAAGCCTTGTATTTTCATGTACACTGTAGGCCGTAGGTGGTCATTTATATCACAACCATGGTTTTGCCAGACAGTATTGTGTCACATCAGTTTTTAGCACAAACTATTGTCAATGTTTTTTCAAATTTATTGGAGGATGGTCATGATGAGGTCCACTCACTTAATAAACGGTGACTGCTCTATGTTCCGACAACCTTATGTTCCAACACCCCTATGTCCCGACAACCCGCACATAAGACTGTGTACTCCTGGTTAGGGTTAGGGTTAGGGTTAGGGTTAGGGTTAGGGTTAGGGTTAGGGTTAAGGTTAGGAATAGGAACATGTGCAGTCGGAACATAGGGGTGTCGGAACACATAGGTGTAACCAAATAAACAGCCTTTTGAATCTGTTGATTCCATATTTAAGCTAAGTGTAGCTAAGTCAATAGAGACAGCACGCAATGAGCATGCTGCTATTGTACTCAAGTTTGTTGAAGACCAACAGGTCAAGAACCTAGAAAGTTTGTCTTCTGATAATGGTGTCCCAGTTGGTGATATTCCCAGTGAAATTAGTGTGACAAATGTTGATTCTGAGCCAGTAGTTATTGTCCCTGCACATGGGCGTCGCAAGGATTTTTTCTAGAGGGGGGCAAAAAAAAATTTGG